AATATAGCGTATTTTTTGTCATACAGAAATCTAATCAGCATTTGCTAGGTTACACATGTTGCAGAGTGGTGAAACCGTGCTGGTCCTTATTTTTCGTGCAGTGGGGTGGAATAAATCTTAACATTATGTGGTACAAATGATGAAGAATCTCATAGTTTTAATAATCTACAAACACATGGTATGTCATACAGTTCCAGAGAGAACCCTGCCATGTTAAGGACATTTAAAAAACTATCATCCAATTAAGCCTGCATTAGTGGAGGCCCACGAAAGTTTCTGAGTGCCTATTTAATTGCTAAAAATTAGACTAGTTGGCCTAAGGCAGAGATTTTGCTTAAGTGTTCAACTTGGAAGTATTTAGAGAGAAAATGGAAATTTTTATAGGGCATCTAATTTGGGGCACATTGCAATGTCAGCTGTGGTGTTTTAATGTGTTTTTAATTTAGCTGAGCTGTAAATGTGCAAAGGTGGCTGCCAATCATAGGCCCAAGTTGTCTGATTTGATCACATGATGCTGAGCCCTGCTAAGACCTGTGTGATACCAAACGACTCCCTTGGAAGTGTGTGTTGGAGTAATTAGCATCAGCAATGAATGAATGCTGAATTGGGAGGGAGAGAATGTAACTCCCAATGCATGTTCAAAGGATTTTAACCCACATATAGTGTAGAAGAGCAGTTTTCTTGCTGGTAAGGGAGGTGATGGAAACATTTTACAATAGCAAAGTAGAACAAGAGTGGGATATATTCTCCAAAGGCCAGGCCCTCCAGTGCTGATCCTGTTGTGGGAGATCCTCCCATTATACATCCAGAGCAGACAGATTGTTTTGAAAGCCTTTTTTTCAGTAGTTGTTTTCATAAGAATTTGTTGTTATCGATTAAAGTGAAAGAACTGGATTGGTGGAGGTATAGTCATTCCCAGCATCCCTTGGTGAATCAGAGCTGTGGACCTTATTCTGCTTAGACTTGACCCAAGGATTGGAGGAGAAACTGGATAAATCAGTTTTAATTTAAAAACCTTGACACTAACAGGATCTAGAGGGAAAAAAACGGGCTTCTAGGAGTTAGGAAACCTGTGCAGTTACCTTGGGTGTCTCAGTAGCTCTTCCTCTGCTAGAGGACAGGTGAAATTATTGCCATCACCACTACCGAAGGCCATTTGAAAATCTTCATTGGAAATGCTTTGAAAATCTTAAAAAGCACTAGAGGTATATTTGCCATGGTACTATATTTCAGGGTTTAGTCTGAATTTAATTTTGTAGCCACAGAAAATAATCTATCGGTTAGTTTACTCCCTTGGGAATCCTTTCCTCACTCCTGCTCTTTTTTTAATTGGTCCAGGTGAACCTAATTAATCCTAATTCTTCTTTCTCAGTACTGATGTGTTTCAGTAGGTACATGTTGTAACCTCACTTGGTTATCAAATGAGTCGACCCTGGCAGTGAGTGGAGTGACAGATGCTACCACAGTGCCCTCAATTCCAGTGTTAACCAGCTCTTCTCCTTCTTTTCCAGTCCCACGCCCTTGACATCTCATCCTTCAGCCCCGTTGCTGTGAGGGCAACTTGAACAAGCTTCAGCCCTTTCTCAGACTCCCAGGGCAGAGCTTGAATGGGTTTAACCCTGGAGTTGTCCCTGATGCAGCCTGTTCAGTTCTTGCTGCTGCCATGCTGTATTCCAAAGATCCACTCTTTCCTCACCTGGTCTCTCGGGGTCAGGCCCATGGGTTAAAGCTTGTTGCATATTTTGTGGGGAGGTTCAAAATGAAGGGGGAATTCCACTTTGGGTGTTGGACCTGGAGGCAAAAAATAAGCATTCAATCTAAAAGCACTAAGTGCCCATTGTTTAGGCAGCTGTTAATCAGCCATGTTTCTGTGAAAATAAGTCCTTTACATGAGGCAGTTGTGTGGGAATAGCTAATTCTGGCCTGATGCTGTGCAGTGTGAGGTTAAAAACATGGTAACTTGTCACAACACAATTCTTCTTGTTCTTTCTGCTGTGGGCTGACTCTACATTACTTGCTTTGTTTGCTCTAGAATGGAATCTACTCACCATTTACTAAAATAAAATGCATTTCTTGGGGGAGGCAAAGTCCAGGTCATTAGATCTTTCATCTTAAAGAGAAAGGAGCCCTGCTCCCTCTGTGACTAATTGTTAGGAATGTCATTTAGCTCGTTTAAATCCAGATTTCAGTTCTGAGGTTGCATTTTATATGCTGGGGCTATTTTGTGTCTTAGTTTAAAGGAATTTATGTTTATTGTCCTCATTTTATTCCCAGTGGTACAGGTTGATTTTCAAAGTATTTAGCAGTAGGTAGAGGTGAGCATCAGAAAGAAAACTTAGCACAGTAGAAAGTGTATAAGCTTTGGAATCTGACAAGTGTGGGTCACATCCTGATCTTGGGCTAGTTATTTAACCTCCAAGCTTTAATCTCCTCCTTTGAAAAATGAGAATGATGAAACTCACTTGACTAGTTATTTAGAGAGGATAATGTATGGAAACTCCCTGTCCTCAATAATTATTAGTAAATTTTCCACAGAAATCATCCTTGATATTTTTACCAGAAGTCAATGCTGAACTCGCCTCCATGGGAGTAGTGTTTCAGGAAGGGAGGGGCACCTTTCAGTAGCTCGAGAGATTGTTTCACTTTTGACTAACAAGCTTTATACTGCTGACACAGTGTCCAAGTGCCTAGATGTCTATTCTTAGCCACTAGCCTACTGAAGGGGAGGCTAGATCTCAGATACAGTTTGGGCCTAGCGTCTGCTTTGGAATTTACTACTCCATTTCTTCACAACATTTTAACTTAACTTCTGAAATGCAATTTGGGGGAAGCTCTTTCTTCAAATCCCTTGGCATGTATGCTCTTAAAAGACAGGCTCCTCAGAGTTTTTATAGTACTTTGCTTCATTTAGAGTTACAGAATGGTATACCATTTAGTAAGATTTCAGTTAGTCCTTTAAGTCGTGCAGTTGGGGGATCCTTCTTGAAGACTTTTAATAGCAGACGGCCTCTTTACAGCATTGTGACAGTTGATATAATGAAATTAATCAAGCAGATTTATGTCCATCACAGTTCAGATCTGTTCACGTTTATAGGTCCTTCCCATTTCCTTCTCCTTTCTTCTAGTAGCCTTTTCATATTAGTATGGCTTGCCAGGACTGTGATGGAGAAGAACGGAAGGGGGGAGGATCACCTCAATAAAAGATGGGTGACTTTGCCAGTTTTGTAGTTCAAAATATGTAAGTAAATAAATCACAAATCTCCCCAATGCCAGTGTCCATAGAATCAAGCTGTAAACTCCCATACTGTCACTAAGGTTAAGAACTATGACTTTCATCCCCACTTCACACAACCCTGAACTGAGTTCTTTTTTGTGTGTATTTGTGAAGGACAGGAAAAGAAACAAAGATTCTTCCTTATAACAAAAATGTTCAAGTATTTAGTTACGTTACAGAAATCATTTCAGTAAAGAATTATCTTTGTCACTCAGGTTTGGGCAGTAGAATGATTTTGGGTATCTTTGATAGAGCTAACTGATTTGTTTTTTTTAAAACACTATTGGGGCCGGGTGTGATGGCTCACGCCTGTAATCCTAGCACTCTGGGAGGCCAAGGGAGGTGGATTGCTCAAGGTCAGGAGTTCGAGACCAGCCTGAGCAAGAGCGAGACCCCGTCTCTACTAAAAAATAGAAAGAAATGATCTGGACAACTAAAAATGTATACATAGAAAAAATTAGCCAGGCATGGTGGCACATGCCTGTAGTCCCAGCTACTTGGGAGGCTGAGGCAAGAGGATCGCTTGAGCCCAGGAGTTTGAGGTTGCTGTGAGCTAGGCTGACGCCACGGCACTCTAGCCCGGGCAACAGAGCCAGACTCTGTCTCAAAAAAAACAAAAAAAACACTATTGGTCATGTCTGATTTGATTCCAGTTACTTGGTCAAGAATGTAATACCGAATTATATAACATTGTTTCTTTAGGAAAGTATATTTTTGTCTAATGGCACAGTTTCAAAAAATCAATCTTTGAGCCTAGTCAACGTGGTGAGACCCCGTCTCTACAAAAAATAAGAAAAATTAGCTGAGCATAATCCTAGCTACTCAGGAGGCTGAGGCAGGAGGCTCGCTTGAGCCCAGGAGTTCCAGGCTACAGCCTGGGTGACAGAATGAGACCCTGTCTCCAAAAAAAAAAAAAAAGATCTTTGGGGTAGGGGAAAAATTTTTCATGTAACTCACTTGCTGAATATACAAGGTGCTGGAGGGATGGTAAAGGGGGCATTAAGTACTCACATAGACATCGTGGGCAGAGGGAACACCAGTAGATGGGTACTCCTAGCGTGGCACTAGCAGCCTGTACCTCATATGTCCCTGTCATCCAAGTTCCTAATCTCTGCTGTCACTCAACTCTGCTCCCATCTTAAACACCAATATGCTATGCTTTTAACTCATTGGCCACCTGCTTTTGCTCTGCTTGTCCTTCAGGTGACAAACACATAAGCCACTTCAGGAGTCTAAATCATTAAAATTCTTAAGGATGTGACCCATTTCACGTTGAGAAATCAGTTGCCCCTGAATGGAATTACCTGTAACCAGTTTTTCTGTAAGTTTACAAAAAAAAAAAAAAAAAAAAGCAGCAGTCGTGACACAGCGGAAAGGAAATAGATACAAAAATTCAGTTGCTGTGAGAGAATGTCTAAATTTGCCTGTCCTGCAGAAGGATGACTGCAGGCAGGAATGGCAAAGCAGGGCAGGCAACATGAGAGGAGTTTTCTTGATTTAGTTTGAATGTATCTAAGTGACAAAAAATAGCATCTGAAGAACTTACATTCTTTTATTAGCACCTCCTTTTGGTCCATCAGCCTATTGAATAAATCTATAAATTCCTTCAAGTATCACACTAACTTTCTGCTCATTGTGCCAGGGGCTGCAGACCAAAGATTGCTCCTATAGGATTACAGGGGTTATTCTCTACATGTGGTAATATGATTTTCTCTTTCCTTTTCAGAGAAGCAGAGTCTTTCAAGGAACAAGGAAATGCATACTATGCCAAGAAAGATTACAACGAAGCTTTTAACTATTATACAAAAGCCATAGGTGAGAAGGACCTGATACTTACGCTAGAAAATACTTATTTGCCAAATACTATTATAAATAGCTTCTCTTGAAAAAGTAACATTTTGCTTATTGGCTTGATAATTGTTACTATGTGGACTCCTGCTTAATGATCTCATGAGTGATAACTTTCTAGCTGGAGCAAGTAGATTGTCTTTTGGTGAATCAAAGGCAATTCCAGAAATACTGAACGTTATGGCAGAAAAACACCCACCCACCCACCGGCCAGGCACAGTGGCTCACGCCTGTAATCCTAGCTCTCTGGGAGGCCAAGGCGGGCAGATTGTTTGAGCTCAGGAGTTCAAGACCAGCCTGAGGAAGAGCGAGACCCCGTCTCTACTAAAATTCGAAAGAAATTAACTGGACAACTAAAAATATACAGAAAAAATTAGCTGGGCATGGT